AATTCTAATCTTATCTGTAGTGCTATTGTCTGATGTAAAGCCTTTTGTGTTTTTCAGGACAGGAAGCCATGTCCTATTTATTTTTAAACTCTCTTCTTTCCTGTTGAAATTATGTTTATGTTTGTGAATTTCAATGGCTTCCCTGTGTAATCTGACATGGTAATTGAAAGTCTTGTCCAACCTTTCAGTGCCTTGGAACAAAATACTGTGTCCTGTTTGAGTTAGGCTATGTTCTGCCACTGCTGATTTTTCAGGTTGGCCAATCTGCAGTGTCTTTCATGTTCTGAAATTTTTTACCATATTAGCACTTTATCACCTCATTCTGTCAGGCTGTACACACTTCCAAGACCTGGCTTGCCAACCTCCAGGCGGAGCCTGGCTGTCTCCCAAAATTACAACTGATCCCCAAGTGCAGAGATCAGTTCCCCTTGAGACAATGGCTGTTTTCTGTGGTTGATTGTATGGCATGACACCCAGCTCAGGTGTTTCCCCAGGTTTCAACCCTGAATCTCCAGGAATTTCCCAATGTGGAGTTTGCAACCCTACCAAGACCCCTTGCTACCCCTTTAGTCACCAACTTTTTTTTTGTATTCCTGTGAATATATTGCTGCTTTTTGAACATGTGTATAAATATGAAACTCCAATCAGGAAGCTGAGGAAAAGGCAGTGATTCATTCTATTTCCTTCCCATCTGGCATATGAATTTCCCCTCGAAACCTCTGTCGTGACTGAGATGAAGCAATCATAATCCTGCTGTTGCCAGCCTCAGACTGTAAAGCTACTTTGCATACATATCACAGCATTTACATTTCGAATAAAACCCAAAATTTGAACATCTGTAATTTGCCTTCTTTTTGTCAGTCTTGGAACCTTTCTGTTTAAAACTATAAATTTGCCCTACAATTTAAAAAATATACAAAATTACTGTGGAAACATAAGGCAAGATCGATCTGCTTTGCCAGTTCTGCGGCTCTCATTCTGCAGTTTCTTGGTGCACAGTCTGCCAAATAAGAAACAAGTTCACCATTGTGAGTCTTCCTCTAACTCTGTAGAGCAGGTGAAAGGTAGGAAGCATGTTATTTTAGACTCTGACTCCAGACTGGCTGAACAAGCTGATTTGGGGGTGAGGCGTTGGCAGCAGACTAACACGGATATCTCAAGGACATCACCTTCGAGATAACATTACTGGTCTCCGGGCTGCATACATAACTTTCTCCTGTGCCACGATGGTTTACCTGCGCTCTTGCTCTTTCCTCCCCCCTCGGGCATTCTTGAGCTTCAGCGCTTTAATGAAGCATCGGACCCCGCACTATAGATCAACCTGCCAGAGAGCTGCATTACGCACGCGCAGTCATTCTCTAGGCATAGGCGCACCGAACACAGTAGGTCAGCCATCATCGAAAAGGCATCACGTCCTTCTTTTTCCGTGTGCAGTTTCACGGCTCTTGGGTGCTTCTAGCTAATGAGAATCCGCTTGCTGATGTGAGAGGAGGGACTTAAGGCTTGCATCATTCGCATTTGCTGCGGCTGGAGCGCCGGGGTTGTTGCCGCTGTCATGGGGCTGCAGGGAATCAAGGCTGTTTTCTTTGACTTGGACAACACATTGATCGACACAGCCGCGGCAGGCAGGAGAGCCATCGAGGCGGTACGTTTCCCCGCCCCTTTGCCCTAAGGAACAAGGAAGTGCAATGCAGACAGGAATGCAGCATAGGGAGGGGATCCAGTTTCTGAATCTGACTGTTTGAATTTGTGGGATTTCTGTGGGGTTTCTCTCCTGAAGGCTTTCACAGAAAGGCATGAGGTCCCGTGAGGTAGCTGTTAGTCTTGGAAGCAAAATCGAATTAACCTTAAAGGGAGGGGATCCAGTTTCTGAATCTGACTGTTTGAATTTGTGGGATTTCTGTGGGGTTTCTCTCCTGAAGGCTTTCACAGAAAGGCATGAGGTCCCGTGAGGTAGCTGTTAGTCTTGGAAGCAAAATCGAATTAACCTTAAAATGCTAACACAAGCTGTTGCCTGTGAGATCAGATGCATGAAAAAAAGCCTCCAGTAGGCAGATTTCTGTGTTGACTCATTTCGCGCATTTGAGAAAGAACCAGGAGCCGTCTGTAGGGGAGGGGATAATGCTGGATATTCTCTTTCAAGGAATGTCAAAAGAATATACTGAATAATCCTGTGGGTCTATGTGTGATCCTTTAACTATCCTTGATAATAGTAGCTAAGGATCAAATGAGTGACTACTTTGGGTGAGTCAGAAAAAATGACCCTTTTATGTAAATCATTTCTCTTTGCCTTCTCTACAACTGCTGTGTAACTGTGTGTGTGAGGGAGCAGTAGTGAATTATCACCAAGAACAAAACAATGCAGAACTTTTGATATGCTTTCATTTTAAAAAAAAAAAAATTATTGAGAGAAATGCAACAGAACAGCAAAGAAAAACAAAAATGCATTACAGTCAATACGCTTTCATGATAGCTGTATGACAATATTTTCATAATACCTGCTGTAATTTGCAGCATCAAAATGGAGTACATGCTAAAACAAAATTCTCATTTGTGGAGGATGTATGCATGCTGTTTCACTGTGTGGTTAAAAGAATTTTGATCAATGGATTGAAACATTTATCTTTGCATAAAGAAAACTCTAATGTACTAACGTTTGCCTACCCCCCCCCATACCTTATCTGATGTTGTTACAACAGGAGAAGTCTTGTTGCAATTGTAGTGTAGAACTTGTAGCCCCCATAGTGTTACCAGAAACTAATTTAGAGAAGTGTAGGTCTAAAATTGGCCAACACCTATCTCTAGGTGTAACATTCACTAACAACCCACTTTGGCTGCTTTGGTTTATTTGGTTGAGTATGTGCTGCTAAAGAAATTTCCCAACTGACACCCTTCACAACACTCTCTACCTCCTTCTGGACTCTGGATAAATCTGGCTTCCTACTGCTCTTCCCCTTCAAGATGATCTTTTGGATTACTGGATGCACAGATGTTTGAACTATTGCTTTGGGACGTGGCTCCCCTGCCTTAACCTGCAAAGATGAATGCCTGTATTTCATGCTCAACCTCCTTTCTCTACCTCTTTGGATTCTTGCCTTCCCTGTTGAGTATAGCACATTGCACAATGTGTGCATGCTTGAAATATCTGGCTTCTTGCAGTGAGTCTGCTAGTACTGAAAGCTTGATATTGTTTTGACGGTGTTAAGTCACCAACCAACATATTTGTATTATTCCCCCCAGTAACTCCCCCCCAATTCATATTTGTTTCTTGCTAGATTGTAGTGGTGCCTCAATATCCAAGATCCCTTATAGCCATTTATGTCAGTTTCAGTGTTATTTTAAGCTAGATATAGACCGTAAGCTAGCTACTTCTTTAACACAGGAGTGAGAAGCAGTAGAAAGAAGGTTTTCTTCCTCAGGCTGTTTAGTGTGAATTTGGTCTCATGGATGATCCACATCCATGGGAGGCACATTCTCTCAAACCTCTCAAACCGGCCTGGTTCGTGCTCGAAGTGGGGTTTG